CTGTAGGTATCCAGCTCTCGTAGTTTCCAAGCTCGGCTTCTCCAACCGTTTGGGGATGATGTTTGCAAAGTCCTTCACTAGGTGCTTGATGTCGGATTTCGTCACTTGCACGTCAACTTGGTCCAAATTGCTCTGTATTGTGTTCTGTCTTGCTTGTTCAAGTCTGCTCAGTTCCACTGGAAATCTCTGTTCTAGCGCCTGGGCCACCCCCTGAGATGGATCGGCGCCACGGCCAGGGGCCTCTACCACGGTCCTTGGCGTGTGGATAATCCAACACGTTGCATCGGGACATTCTGGCATTTCTTTCGCATACATGGCCGACATTCGTTGCGCATTCTTCCATTGGCATTGCGGACATTCTCGTCGTGGTCTCTTGTGACAAGGGGCAACCACAGGGAGCTGGGAGTGCGGCTTGGAACAGAATGTGGCCCTGTGGGCGCTGAACAAATCGATTCTGAACACAAGAATTGACTATGGCCTCGAAGGTCCTTGCCCTTCGAGATACCATCTGGGTCTGATGAGCTATCTAATACGGAGGTCCTCCGGGGACCGAAGGTCTCTGTCATTCCATGACATGACTTCTGAATGATGACCCATAGGCGCTCCCTAACGTAACCTTCCTAGCCATCGTAGCTCGATACGGAACCTTCCTGGCCATTGTGGCCCGATGCAGCTCCATCGGCGCAGATCAAGGGTCGTAGGGCTGAACCTTGATAAGATCTCTCCTGAATCGTCGAGATTCGATAGGCCGTGGTGCCACTCAGGGTGTCAGGGGCGTTCAGCGTGTGACATCTCTTGCGTAACGTGCTTTGTACCAGAGGACCACTTCAGGTAACCCTAAGAATGATGAAAAAAACCTCACCCGAGCTACGCTTTCCGACCAAAAGAACGTGCCCGTGGGAACACTTGTAATGGGATCGTCAGACCTCGCCGCCCAAGCTTACACTACGGCAAGGCTGAACCTATCTACCACCCATCAAACTTTGTCGGCAGCATAAATGCTGACAAGGTCAAGTCCACACCTTCTATTTAAGGTGGAGTGGTTGCCATCCGTTTCCTCACACACACACATACACACACACACACACACTCTCTCTCTCTCTCTCTCTCTCACTCACTCTCACTCTCTCTCTCACATACACACACACAAACACACACACACACACACACACACACACACACACACACACACACACACAAACACACATCTACCCACCTCTATTCATCCAACATAGTGGACGGAAAAATGATCTTGTTGCCAAGAAGGAAAGTGGAGCATAATGCGTGTCCTCCTCCTCCTCCTCCCTACATGCCACATTCAAGGTCAGACGACGACACGAGAACGCTGCAACAGCTTCAGAAGTCCTTGAGTTCGGCCCACCAGCAACAGGAAGCGTATACAACTAGCAAAGGCAGCTCCAGCACATGGTGGCGGCGGACGCTACGCCGAGTCCAGGTCTTTTCACACCAACCCTTACGGCAGCAGGTGTCCAATAGCGCCATATATCTCCCAGTCGCACCTGTGGCTGCTGTTACCACCATCGACATCTCGAAAATCTTTCCAAGATGGTAGTTATGGGCATATTGGCATGCCATGCGGTCAGGGCGCCATGCTTACGAAGCTGCCGCTACCAACCATGCCACCCATCCTAGTGGGCACCTATTCACTACACGTCCTATGCTGCCCCCCTCCGCCAACTTTGGACAGAGTTGCTACCCGCTGGCAGGAGGCACGGCTGGTATTCTCGTCGGATCACCTGCCCGAGATCCTCCGGGCGCCACCGATCCAGTGGCGGGCCGTCCTCAGCGACTGCTGCTTCTTCGACGAAGTTTGTCGCGTGCCATGTCCCTACCCTGGCCCGTTCTTCACGGATGACGGGAATGATCCTGCTACGCTTTGTGTCCTGTCAGAGCTGGGGTATACATACGAGCGTACCATCAAGCTCGCGCTAGTCTGCGACCAAAACAGCACGTACTACTGGAACCTTCACCTTATCCTCATCAGCAGAGACGGTAACTGGCTCGCGAGCGTATCGCGAGACGACACTGCCTCTTTTTTTAGCCTCGATTCGATCATTCGGTGAGTGATACATGATCAAAGGGGTGCTTGACCAACACATGCTGATCAAAACAGAGTGATCGGCTATGTACACCCAGAACGAGATTCCGTGGAGAACTCGGTCATGTTTTACCAAAAGACACCAGGCCTGGAGCCACACGGACACGGACAACCGTCCGCTTCCCATCTAGGCGCGGCCCACGACGAGGAGATGCGCCAATTGGTAGATGATGGTATCGAGAACCTCATTCGGGGGGGGGGGGGGCTTGTGCATTCGGCGGTTCTGGCCCTGCCAAGCAGAGCTGAAATTCTCGGTGCCCCCTGAACCCCTTTCTTCTCCGTCGTTGTAGGGGTTTGTCGTAAGGAGGAGCAAGATAAGGAAGCAGTGGATGTTGTTTATAAAGCGACCCATGGCATCGGGATCTGTCAAAGTAGCCGTGTGGATGCTGTCGAGGAACTCAGCGCCCAGCTTGCCACCCATTGCTCCATGGTGATGGCGATGAAGTCGCGATTTGGTTCAGAAGTGCGCCATGTCTCCCTTTGGCCGTGGGAGAGCGGGGGGAAAGAGCAAAAATTCAGCAGGGAAAGGTTGTGGAAAGGGAAAAAAATGGAGTTGCAGGAGATCGGAAATGGGCAGTGATCGGAAATGGGCAGTGGACGAGCGATGACAGCAGAAATTGCGCACGGAAGAGTGATGGCATCAGAAATCGGGAAGCGAAAAAGCTAGTCTGTCCGCCGCCGCCCTGTACGTCACCCAGACAGGCTTCTACTCTAACGCTTTTACTATCGACCATGTTTCCCACCTTAACGCTGACTTCTGCGACCTGGCAGCCCGTTGCCCCTGTTGTAGCCGCCAGATGTCGACTTGTGCTTGCAATGTGGCTGACAGTTTGGTCTCGGGCTCTTCGTTTTTTCTTCACAGCTGCATGTAGCTATGTTGGAAACGTTGCACACTGGAAACTGTGGAAATGGAGGGGGGTTGCAACGGCTTGATTGTCTACGAGCCTCTATTGCAGTTGTGAATGGTGGCATGTGGACACCAACACAAATCGTACCCATGGACAGCCGGACTGGCCACGTCAGCTCGGCTTCCATAGGCTTCTTTTTAGCTCGACTGGCCACACCTTCTTCCTGCGCGCGGCAGCACGATTGGGGGCGCCATGCCATCGTAGGGTAGCTGGGATGCTTGCTTTTCATTGGCTGAGGTAAGCTGGCCTTGATTCTTCTGGAGAGTTGGAAACAAAAGGTTTCCGGCAATTCTACCTACTGCGCGCAAAGGCGTGATCCATTCCTTCGTTGCAGGCCTCAGATGGCTAGAACATAGCCTTTCGGCTCGAAGGAGGCCATCACGAGGTCGGCCTCGGACAAAGGAGCAACGGGTTTCAGAATGGACCCACACCTGCGATTCGCAATCCATCCGATCGTATATCGTTCGCAAAGTAGCGGTGATGTGGGTGTTTCATCATTGTCCCTCGCCGCGGCTGCTAGCATTTGCCAGGTACGGACTTCTGTCCAGCTCCTTTCCATGAAGTAGGGCGCGTTTCTTTGCTCGGACCAATGGCCCCTGAACAGTTCCGAGTCATTTGGTCCAGGTGGTGTTCCTGCCGCCCTGGCGTGGTTCGGAATGATTTCCAAGGCTTTTTTCCCCTCGGACCGGACTCCCTTACCCCACGCTGCCCTCCGTCCACAAAATCCTCGACACCGATATCCCTGCGATCGTCGGCTATACACCTTGGACACCAGCCTCGTAGGCTGGTCTGGCTTTCCCTACCCCCGAGCAGGTCATATCGCGAGCATCTCTACGAAGGCCTGCTGATTGACAACGACAACGACTCCCCCGCCCGTAGAAAACCGCCGCCCTCGCCTGCTCCAACAGCCCCTCGCCCAAGCTGGCCCAGAAACTAGAGACGTACTCGCCGCGCTAAGGCAAGTTCAGGGGCACCGGCAGTCGGCAGCCTTAAAGACGACAAATAACCCGTGTCCTTAGCTCTGATCAGAGGAAGGACACGCTCCAATGGAACTTCACAACACATACCCACCTTTGCACTTTTGACCCTCTAGTTCTGTGACCCCTCTTCGATAACCCCTAACCCTAACGCCCCTGCGTGACAGCTGGCTCGCCTATCGTTGCTACAGTCTACGATGGCCGTGGAGTTGCAAGGACCCAGTTTTGGGTCCTCGCATCACCACCACCACCACCACCTGGCCGCGCTTTCCTTCCCTCCAACGACAGAAAAAAAACCTGCTATTTGCGCCGAGGTTGAATTGTCCATTTTCCTCCAACAAACAACCTATTATTGTAGATACTTCTTTCACAGAATAGCAACCAGATAGTACGGCATGGATGATCACAGCTCATATCACGGCTCAGCGCTATAACTCGGGATTGTTAAAGGAGAAGGTTATGGAAAGGGAGTTCTAAATATCAGTTACTGTCGGATTTCCAAAGGGGTCACGTGATGGCACCTGGTTTGTGCGTATCGGAACCGATTCTGTGGACCGGATCTGTGCTGTTCTAGCAGTTTCTTCGGCTTTCATGGGCAGCGCGCGGATTTTGGGCGGATTGGCAACTCTAGCCGGATGGCCCAAGAACAAGGCTCCGTGGCTGCAGGAGTACACGCAAGCACATGCAAGCACACGCGCTAAGCAGGCTTGAGCGGCCGCAGCACAGGTACATCCATGAAAGGGGAAAGTAAGTAAAACTCGATTCGTAGCTTAAACTGGTATGTTTTAATAGCAGGCGTGTAGGCATTTTGGATATAGATAAAAAATAAGGTAAGAAATTAGAATTGAAGAGAAAAGATGTTTCTTTTTTAGCATAAAACATATACATACATACCACAGTGGCCGTAAATGATCTGAATGAATGAGTGATGCATCATCATACAAAAAGGGTAAAACGTCACCCCAACATTAACATCCAACACCCACCTGCTATCCAGGGAGCTTGGCTCAGTTGGAAGAGCGCAGGTCTCATACGCTAGTATGATCTGATTGACAAAAACAATCAGAGTAATCCTGAGGTCGTGAGTTCGAGCCTCACAGTTCCCATATTTTTTTTTCTTTGGTTCCACTCATCATTTTTTTTTTCTTTGGCTGTGGAGGCGTGTGTGTCTAGGCATGGTCATTCTTTGCCTCCTTTTTTGTATTGTTTTAGTAAGATAATATCGAAGCAAATCGATCCGATTAAAAACTTGAATTTTGGTTGGAAGCAATGTAGGCAGTTTGCTGCCGGCTGTCACGTGGCTGACCAACACAGGATGGTTGCACAGGTGCTGCTCGTCCTTCGGGCTTCAGCTTGTTTCCGGCGTTGGTTGGGGGGTTTGAGACATTCCTTCTCGTCACCACTTCCCGACGCGTTCATTATATCATCAAATTGAGCCAACTGAGCCACGAAACCACTATCTGACAGAAATCCAAAAATGGTCTCCTACAAAGAAATCCAATCCTCCAACTCCCTCCTCAACACCAAAACACTCCCCCGCGTCTCCGTCTTTGTCGGCGCCACCTCGGGCATCGGCAAATACACGCTCAAAGCGCTTGTCGCCGCCTCAGCTGGCACTCAGGAACCGATCCGAATCTACGTGACCTGTCGGCTTTCCTCCGTTCCCGCAGCCGAAGCATTCATCTCCTCCGACCTCCGACCCCTCAACCCGCAAGCAGACATCAGCTGCATCGTAGGCGAGGTCTCCCTCCTCTCCGAAGTGAGACGCGTCTGCGCGCTGATCAGGTTCAAAGAACCTCTCGGGATCGACCTTCTTTTCCTTTCGGCGGGCTACGCGCCGGCAGAAAACGTGCGGAACGAAACCGCGGAAGGGATTGAAGTCGGGCAGAGCCTCGAGTACTACTCCCGCATCCTGTTCATCAAAGAGCTGTCCGCCTTGTTGAACAAGCACCAGGGCAGGGTGGTCAGTGTTTTGGGGGGCGGGTTGGAGAAGCCGAGTTTCATCCCCGACGTGGATGATTTGGATCTCAAGAATCCGGGAGGAAGCGGCGTCGGAGTGATGGGGTACAAGGCCCAGTCGCAGTACCTGGCCATGAACACGCTCGGGATGGAGGTCTTGGCCAGGGAGAATCCGGGTGTCACTTTCTTGCATTCGTGGCCGGGGATAGTCAGCACGGGAAATGTGTGGAGGGGCGTGCGGGATAGGAATTCGTGGATGGGGTGGGTGATTTGGTTGCTTATTGAGCCCCTGATACGGTTTTGGGGCACGAGCGAGGAAGAATGCGGGCAGAGGTTTTTGTTTCAGTGTACTAGTGGGTATTATGGAGGGAACAAGTCGGAGCGTGCGGTGGAGTGGAGTGGGAAGAAGGGGGTTAGCACGGAGGAGGGATTGTTTTTGGTTGATTATAACTGCGAGTGTACGCCGAATGAGGCCAACGTGAAGGCTTTGAGGGAGAAGGCGCAGACGAAGGTGTGGGAGCATACGATGGAGGTTTTGGCGGGGACGGAGAACAGGGTGGGTGAACAAGAACAAGATTGAATGCTCAGCGAGGTGTGAGTTTAAAGTCTGCCCCTGAAGAGAATGGCAATATCTCTCTGTCTCTCTTCATCTTTTTGGGATGGGTCCGCCCGTGCTCTTCACTTCGGTCCCCTGCCGTCTGTTCTTAGGCAGACGTCTGGGGTCAGGATGGCACTTGACGCACTGTTGCTGGCCCTTGATATAGACCCAGTCAGTGTGAATAGGGCAAACCTCCATGTGTGCACCGCAGTACTTGCCGCTAAAACCCTTGACAAGTCTACAGCCGCCCTTCCTTCTAAGAGGGCAATGATGAATGGTGGTGGTTTTTCCGATGCCGCCCATTTTGCGAGTAATGGTAAGGATACAAGACTATGATACTGTATGACTTGAACTGATGACAGCAAGATGTGATTATAGAATGCTTGATGAGCGGGCTGGTGAGCCGAGAATGACAGCAACTATCTTGTAGGCAGATTGCCCCCTCCATATTATACATTTACACAATGATCGAGAGCAGAGTTTGCTTTCTTGTCGCCCATAGGATGGCTTTGTTCTGGGACATCGAGCATGTTCCCAATAATAGCTCTTTGGGAACAAACGCTTCCAATAGTTTACTGCTTCACGAACAAAGATGCGAGAGAAAATATTGAGTGCACAAAGCCCCGTTTATATTTTATTCTTTAACTCGAGTTCGTGGATCTACCTCGTCTTTCAAAAGAGACATTGTTTGTGTCCTGTCATGGGTGATGATGTTCTTTAATAGGATCATCGAGCTAGCCTAATGTAGTTGGCCAAATGTCTCGGTGTCATCTAGAAAACAAGGCATACCAATTCTTGCTTTGAACCGAATATCTCGGGTATTCTTTTCATTTGTTACTTGGGAGGTTGTTGCCTTGCCCACTCGGCAGAAAAAAGGCAACATACCTGAGTAAGCGACCTGTGATTTTGGCTTTGTGATCTCAGCGTCTTTGTTCTTCACCCTGGCTTTTTCGACCCAACTTCGATGTTCAGAGAAAAGCAAGTTTGTGGCCCTTTGTTTGCCAGGACAGCCGTCTACCCTGCCACTGGGACAACAAATGGGCAGACATTTTTTTCTTGGCCATATTTAACGACAAATTTTTGCCAGCCCAGGCGGATAACATTCTCAATTCAAGGTACTGTGTAGTAGATTACACCACCCACACGTTGCCGCGGTCAATTCAGTCTACGCTGCGTGGTTGTGTAATCAATTGCATTATTATCATCCCAGTCGCAATCTGGAGGTTATCTCTCTTCTTCCTAACTTGCCATCGAGCTATCTTTTTTCAACATCAACAAAGATGGCAGCGCAACCGGAAGCATCATCGCCCATCCAGGAAACATTTCTCCATGACGACTCAGATGCTGGATCTGACGCCGGGTCCGACGCCGGCTCTGAGTCCCCATCCGTCACCTACCAAGCCGAACCATTCGCCACCTTCCAAACCCGCATCCACGAGCTCACCGTCGCTGCAGTTTGGCCAAACGCTGGCTCGGATCAAATCACCATCGAGAGGCTCAGAAGCGGTGGGTTCAATCGCATCATCGGAATCACCTGGGACGTCGACAACCACAAGCTCCAGCATGTCGTTCGCGTCCCCTGGTTTCCCGACGATGATCTAGCTGCCCAGGTCGCCCCCCTTGATTTCATCAAGAAGCACACCAAAATCCCCTCGGCCAGGATCATTCAGTACGACCTCACAACCGAGAACCCTCTCGAATCGCCGTACATGGTCCAGGACCGGGTTTCGGGTGCAGACCTGCACAGCCTGATGCACGACGAGAGCGGCAATGTAGACAACAAGATCCCCCACCACGGGTGGCAGAAGCTGGCCAAGGAGCTCGGCGACGTCACACGCCAGATGCTCTCAACCAGAAGCACCGTGGCAGGAACCATCGTCCTCTCCCCGGACGGCCTTCGCAGTCTCCATATCGCTCCCTTTTCCACGAGCAGAGATTCGGGCGCGGCGGATACATCTCGACCGTACATCTCCTGCGGTACCAATCAGATCTCGTCGGAATCTGCCGCATCTCTCCTGACAAATCTCTTCCAGTTCCAGCGCCAAAAGGAGCTCGACGAGGGAACTCACCCCGATTTTCCCTCGCCGTGGCCGGGCTTCATCGCCCTTACGCAAGAACTCGCAGAGATGGGCTACTTCCAGGACATGGACTACTCTCTCTGCCACATGGATCTCTTCCCCCGTAACATCCTCGTCGACCCCTCGGTCTCGGGAACCCGCAGCACCAAGAACAAGATCGCTGCCATTCTGGACTGGGACAGCGCGCTGCTCGCTCCGACCTTTGTGGCCTGCCGCCCACCTGCCTGGCTTTGGAACCACGAGGAGGAGGATGCCGAGAACTCCGAGGATGCTGATGAGTCGGAGAAGAACACCAAAGTCGAGCCCACCACAGAGCAAGGCAAAGAGATCAAGCAAATCTTTGACGATGCCGCGGGAGAGCAGTACGCCTTCTTTGCATATAACCCTGTCTACCGACTTGCGAGGAGACTGTTCCAGTTCGCTGTCGCGGGTGTAAATAACTCGGACCAGCTGGACGAGGCCCACGAGTTGATGGATGAGTGGGAGGACTTGAAGCAGACCGGAAGCTCAAAAGGAGAAGGGGGCTCCATTGCGCCGGCACCGAGTCGGACAGCAACGGAGCAAATGAGCGTTCAAGAGTCTCATCTGTCTCATCCTTCGTCGGACGGAGAGAATGGTAGTGGACGGAAGGGGAAGAGGTTGAAGAAGCGGTGCGTACTCATGTGAGAGACTAAAGGTGCGTTGGTGTGTGGGGAGTGATTAGTCGAAACAAAACAAACATTCAAATAAAAAGAATTCCAAAAGAAGCCATTTTTTTTTCATTGAGAGAATTAAGTGAAGCATGCATGTATGTATGTATGTATGTATGTCTGTGAAATGTATGAAAAAAGATATTGCCAACCGAGGGTTGGAGGTTAAATCATGACAAGAGTGGGATTCGAACCCACGCCCTTTCGGACCACGGAATCTTGTAACCAAGATAGTTATTAAGGATGTTCCTTAACGTGGCGCCTTAGACCGCTCGGCCATCTTGCCTTGTATGTGATTGTTGAGGTGCTGTTGAGATTTTTCCGGTTTTGTGAGTTGGTGCGGCTAGGGCTTGGTGCGATAAAAAGAATCAGGTGTGGTGGGGCTCGCCGTTTCTCCCGTCACCCGTGGACCCGCCCGTCGGCTAGAGGTCCCCGCAGTTTTGTTTCAACCGCCAAGCCAGAGATTCAGGGGGTGAGCTTCAGGGGTGGGTCCCATGCTGCGCCGCGACGCTTGTCACCACCATTGGGCGCGGGAGAGAGAGAGACGCGACCTCTTGTCCGTCAGCTCATCATAAAAAGGTAGCACTCGCGCTTTTGTAAATCTCGATTGTCTTTTTTTTTCTGCTCGTCATCATCCCTTCCATCAAGTAGTAGTAATATCACGTCAAAATGGCCGCCGTGTACAACAACTCGTGGCGCAACAACATTTGGTTGGGCTGGTTTTACGTCCAGCTGCCCATCATTCTGTGTAAGCTCTCTAATCTGTGATTATCACAGGAATA